AGTATTGGTAATAGTAATAGTAGAAGAAGAAGAATATATGGAAGAGGAAAATGTGCTGATTAGATAAAATTTTTAGTTCTTCCTTACTTATTGGTTCAGGTTTTTAAGTCTTTGAGGGTTCAATACAGCATTTAGCAATGTTTGTGTTGATTCAACCCTAATAAATAAGAAAATAATAAAAAGAAATTAGTATATAAACACACAAAATGATTATTTTAGTTTAATAATGCCCATCTTATAATTATAATCTCAAAAAATAATGAATAAAAAAGTATTTTATAGTAGAAAGTAGAAAACTGTTGGGCGATTGGGCGAGGCGAGCCTCAAAGGGCGCCTTGTCGCCTAGGCATCACCTTGACAACTATGTTAGGGTGACAATACTTTGGATAATTTGGGAGGAAAGAAACTCAAGAATCTTCAAGGAGCATAGTAAAGAAGAGAAAACCTGCAAGAAATATTCTGATTAGGGTGGCAAATTGGCTTAAGGTCATCACATTTTTTTATCAATGAGGACATCATATTTTTTTTATCAATGAGGTCATCACATTATTTAAGGACTTTTCAGTGGACGACATAGTTGAGGTTGGAGACAGATTACTGACTCATCATCCTCAGTTCAGTCAATAATTTGCAGGCAGAAACCTCCGCCCTTAAATTGGGTAAAACTCAAAACATTGACAGATGCAGCCTTGGCAATCCAAGTCCATCAGGAGTGGGAGGAGTCATAAGAAATAACAAGAGTACTTTTTTCGCTATCTATTCTGGTCCTATAGGCCAAGGAAACTCTGTTAAAGCAGAATTCATGGTGTTGCTACAAAGTCTAAAGCTTAGCAGATCACTCAACATCACAAATCTGCTAAAGAAGGTGACCCCAGGACTGCAATAGGTGGCTGAAGCAGGACAAATCAGGTTCTTGGTGGTTCAGACAAGAAATAGAAGCAGGTATTGCTGCAAGCAAAAAACATGGAAACACACTGAGAGCACGACATCCAGCAGCACATCAGGAACATCTCCCCATGAATTTAAAACTCAAGTACAGGAGGCATTCCCGATGTGCGAAGTGCAATTGGATGTCATGCTCTGAGTGTGTTCACATGTTTTTCACTTGCAGCAGATCTGGGCTCCAAGAAATGAGGGAGATAAGGAAGCTCTCAAGGGATATGAATGCAAGATTCTTATGGATACAAAGGTCAGTAAATGGCACAGCAGATGGGCTAGCTAGAAAAGGGGTTAACAGGGAACAAATGCATTCGGGAACAACTTAAAGCTACAGATTAAGTTGGGGATCATCTAAATCAATGTATATTAGTATATAATCATACTTTATATCATTAATAAAGTTTACAGTCATCCATCAAAAGAAAATTAAAAGGTAATTACTTGGTGTAATGGTAAAATCTCAGGCTGGGCAAGCATGAAAGCGCATGTTCAAGAGTTGCCAAAGCCAAGAGTCAGGGCTGCATCCAGTATTTCAGTCTACCCCACCCCCACCAAGACCACAGATAGCTGGGACCAACATTGGGTGATGGCCTTATTGTGTTAAAGTTAAACTACAAAATTTACTTCAGCACCCATGTACACCAAGGGACCATACAATGGGAATATACAAAAAGTTCAAAATCAGGAGGGAGTGAATGTCGCAAATAAACTCAACCTCAAAAAAAGGTATAATATGAAGCTCCTCTGAATAACTTGTGTATTGACAACCATGAACACAATCCCTTCCACCTGCCTTGCCATGGAAGAACATTTTAAGTTTTCAACTGAACATGGAAAATATTCTTTAAAACTTTTCCCACAGCTTTTGATAGTTGAGACCAATGACAGTGCAAAATAAGTGATTGGCCATTTCCAGAAGTGAGGAGCATAACACACATTCATTGTTGTTTAGCACCATAGTCCTCCTCCTGCTAAAACTATCTTCCATGAGGCACTTGTCTAGTGCTGCTTCCAAACCGACCTTAAATGGCACAAAAGAATTCCAAATTTTAAAGCTAGTCCCATAATCTTCTATCTTCTCCTTTGGACAAGGCTTCACATTCTGAATTCTCTATAGTAACTCAACTATGAGCCTAATCTCCCAATCAATCAAATTCCTCTTAAATTGTGAGTTCCATGCAGCAGACTCTTTCTACCACTCATAATATTCTGCTATACAAGCCTCCCTATTCTAGGTAGCCCAAAACAGGGATGGCCTATAATACCTGCATTTTTTTAACCATCAGAATGAATACAATAAAGGAGAAGTTCATATAAAGATGCAGATGGGAAGCTGTGTTGTGGAATATGTAATGGAAGAATAAAGTGCTCCATCTCATGCCTCTCCAAGGGATGCTTGTAAAGTTTTATTTTGCTTGATTAATGAAATAAATTTTCAATTATCAAAAAAAAAAAAAACAAGAATATAGTGACTCAACTATGAGCCTAATCTCCCAATCAATCAAATTCCTCTTAAATTGTGAGTTCCATGCGGCAGACTCTTTCTACCACTCATAATATTATGCTATACAAGTCTCCCTATTCTAGGTTGTTAGACAGTGTATGCCCTTAGCTCCAATCCGCATGATGTACATTATGACATTTATTGTAAATGAATAAAGTACATATTTTATTCATGTTATTATGGTGTTTTTCTATGTAATACCCTTAAACTGGACACATATGAAACTCGTGTTAGTTTAGAATCATCATAACCGTTGGATAGATTGGGAAGATTTATCCTGCCAAGACTAACACTGATATACCACCAAGTTGGTTGGGGTGGCTTGTCTTAGTTGTCGGGGTGAGACCTGAGGTACATGCAGTGTGGGTTTTCTTGAAACCCTGAATCGAACCAAAATTCCAGTATTGCCCTGGACCTTGGAGATAGATGGGCAAAACTGGAATGTTACACCTGACCCCTAGATTCGATTATGATACTGCACTAGGTGTCGGATTGGACCGTCTTTGATATGTCAATCAATGAGATCCTTAGAGGGGGTCAAAACCTGAGTATGTTGGGACAATCCAAAAATTCATCTGAGTGGATGATCATAGTGACAGGATCAGCCCCTTTGTGGGACAAAATGAATGATTGGGGATGCACTCTCTCTGATGGAAACCTAAACTGCCGGCAGTTGATTTCAACCGTTGAAATTTGTTTTTGCAAAATATATTTGTATAAAGATATACATATATATATTATGATTTCAAAATGTTTGCAAAAGGTTTTAATTCTCAGGATCCATGTGAGTAGAGAGTGTAGTACTATACCTTGCAGCCGAGGGAGAAGTCTTCTTTTGTCGGGCAGTGTTTGATCATTATGGGTTGAGAGGTTAAGTGTAAGACCATTGAGGGTTATACCTAATGGACTAATCTTGCATCTGCCCACAGTCCTTGGGCCTTCATAAGATGGTTGGACCCAAGGACCATTTAGTGTAAATGTTGGGCCCATTAAGAGCCCATAGTGATGGACTCAGGGGTTCACTGTATTCAGCAATGAATTCGGCCAGGCCTTGTAACAGAGGCTAGGCTGAACCCATGTAGTTGATGTGTAGATCAATGATACGGTCTCATGCCATACAAAGAGAGCCAAGCTAGCCAGCATCAAAGAGGAAGTGAGCCTAAAAGCTTAATGGGCCTAAAAGCCCATTTCGAACTAGGTTAATTAGATTAATTAAATAGGGGCGGATCTGGGATTTGGATCAGCAGATAAGATAAGGGATTATCCTTATCCACTTAATGAGTCCAGATCCAAATAAAGATTTGGATCAAGGAACTCCTAATTTGATTAGGAAGGTTGATCTTTATCTACAGATAAGATAAAGAATTATCCTTGTCACTTAAAGAGTCCAAATCCAAATAAAGATTTGGATCAGGAAACTCCTAATGATATTAGGAAATTGTCTATTTAAGGCTATAAATAAGAAAGCAGGGCGAACCTTGAAAACACACTCACTCAATACAGAGAGAAGACAACTCAGTTAGAATGATCTTGCCTTTAGCTCCTTTTCTTCCTGCTCTTGCCGCCCTACCCTACTTGATCTCCAGTTCTTGAATTTGATAAAGATTTGATCTTGATAGAAGAAATAATTTAGAAGTTGTGTTCACTATCCCATTCGATTCTTGTTGAAGAATCATAAGTTCTTGGTGAAGAACTACCTGCTGATCCTGCCTCATCCTAAGTTGTGTCATCTTCAGTGGAGGGAGGATTTGGTGCACTCTTTGGGCGTGAACACCTACGTTGGAAGGAGCATTCTTGCGTGGATTCCGTATCAAGTATCCCTTAATTTGGTTTCAGATTTGGTCTGGTTTGATTACAAGAACGAACCTTGAAAATGTAGTTTTCTAAGTTGGGAATAGGATTCCCGGATGGGAGTAAATAAATTTTTGAAATTTTGCCCAACCTTCCTACGGGGTTCGTTCATCTATATGATGGATCTCCCATCCCTTCATAGGTAGCCCAAAACAGGGATGGCCTATAACACCTGCATTTTTTTAACCATCAGAATGAATACAATAAAGGAGAAGTTCATATAAAGATGCAGATGGGAAGCTGTGTTGTGGAATATGTAATGGAAGAACAAAGTGCTCCATCTCATGCCTCTCCAAGGGATGCTTGTAAAGTTTTATTTTGCTTGATTAATGAAATCAATTTTCAATTATCAAAAAAAAAAAAAAAAGAATATAGTGCTTCATCAAGAAGTATCAAGTCACTGGTCCATCTTGGCTACAATTTAGTCCCCTAATAAAAATAAAATAAATGAATCTCTAACAACTTTTCCATACAAGTCGATCCAGCCAAAAACACAATCACGATGTTCCTCTCTGTAGTATGTCAAACCCCAACAACCATGCCAATTTGAGATCTTAATAAATACAGAGCATCTCAGTCTCCTAAATTGAGACCCCAAAAGTTTTGCACCCACCATTTATCAGTCTCAGACAGCTGAGGTAACGCTTCTTGATGTTCAAATTTTATAGAGTTGAACTCAGGGGGATTGGAACGAAGGTAATAGATGTCCAAGTGCTGGAAGAGAACAACCCAAATCACATCAAAGGATTCCAAGAAATAGTACCAAATTGTAATGGCAAAGTTGATGTTTTTACATACTATGTTTCTCAGGCAGATGAAACAAATGTAAGTGGAGTTTTTCCAAATTGTGTCTCTCCTCTAAAGCACATTCGCATGCCAATATTTTAACATTTAACCTTTCAAATAAAGGCTTTAATTTTGGAGGAGTGAGCAATATACATATATTGTAGGGAAACAACACATTAATCCTTTGAGAGAATTTTGAACAAATACTTTGAGAAATACAGGACATTGGCTTCAAGAATCTCTACCATATCATATTATATAAATACAGTAAAAGGTTACCATAAAACACCAAATTTCAAATTAAAGACAAACAAAATGATCTTTTCCTTTTATTTTTTTTCCTTTTCTTTGATCCTCTGTGACCAGAATAAGGGCTCTGCTCTTTCATTTCCCCCTTCCTCTTCAATTAATGCAGCTATACATTTTCTCATCTATAGCCTTGTCACATTCAAAGTAACTAAGGCACCACCCCTTCATATACTTGTTTCCTTCCATTCTATATTAAATACACACTATATCTCATCCAACGTTAACAGAACAGAAATCCATTCCCTATTTTTTCATAGAATAGATAGCATTATCTTAATTCTACCTCTAGTGTTTGATTCTTTTATGTTAGACCACTTTTAATGTTTTCTAGTTGCTACACCGATTAGGGAAACATGCTAATTTGCAAGAGAATAGAGAACCAACTAAAACCACTCCAATTTTTTATGTAAAAAATCATTGCCTGTAGAGACAAGGTATTCCACTATTGGCCAGCCTTGACTTGGTGCCTTCATAACTATGGAGATTACCGTGGGAATTGTTTCCATAGACAAAATTGTCTAGCATAAATACTTTTAACCCTAGGTTGCTATCTAAGTGAATCTAGTGAAATAAATTCTAGAAGAAACCAATTAAAGGTTTCCAAGGACATTGAGTTCTTTGGTCCGTGGGACTAAGATCTCAAATCATTACATTAGATTCAGTGTTTGACTTGGGGTTGTAGTACTTCTTTTTTCTTCTTTAATAAATTGATTTTTTTGTATAAAAAAAGTTCAGTAAAACACAACAATAATTTTTTACAGGTAACATGAAAGAATTATTTGTGCTAAAGGAGAAACATGGAACCACCACATATTTACACTGGAAAAATCAATGGTCAATTCCCAGTTCAGATATTGAACATACGAGAATCATGGTGTGGCAAGCTATAGAGCTTTAGAAAATAACTGATAGCTCCTGTTAGATTAGATAGCATGGATATGCACTAAGGTTTAGGAGTAGCCAACAGACAATAACCTAATCGAGTAAATATCTATAACTCTACTAGTCCAGCACAAAGAAAAACCTTCTGGATATAAGATATTTGTTAGCAATGAAAAAGGGAATTAAATTATCTAGTAGATACCTCTTCATCTTTGAGGTAAGGCTCAAACCATCCCCATAAAGTCTTTGGATCAGCTGCATATCTTAAGTAGAGAAATCCAATCTGCAAAACAACATCCAGCATCATTCCCTGCATGTCAGAGCCAAAAGGTAGAAATAACCAAAAAAGCGTCCAACATGACAAATAAACAACCCTAAATGGAACCTAGTAATATCCAAGGAACTTATTACAATGGCAGAGTTTTCAAATATTCACACTAAGATTATTTTATCAATATGCATGCAGGCATTGGCGGTTGTGGAGACACTGTTAGACTTACCCAGGAATTGAAAATTTGTTTGGATTTCAAACTAGATCAGGTATAATGATAAATAAATATGAATAATGCACAAAGAAACATAGTCTACCAATGCCCAGGAGGTGCTTACAGCTCTAATATAAGGAGAATCAGGGTGCCTCAACAGCCCATGCATTTGTTTGACAGTGAGCTTCATCGTGAAAAACTTGTAGAGAAGACAAAATGCTGTAGACGGGCCTCTACAGTTCCCAGTCATCCATGGCTCCACGTGATCAACTTGATTGTAGATTTCGTCAATAACTTCATGGTAAGTCTTCAATCTGTAAAGCTCTTTGAAATAATCTGAAGAGAGAATGTTCATACACAAAACCTTCTCTAGCAAAGAATCAATCGGCTTCCCCGAAGTCTGAATCTCCATAACCTCGCAGGTAGATCAGCTAAGCCAGGTCGTCTTCGAAAGCCAACTTCAAATACTATCGAGTAATAACAGACCCAAGTATCACCTACAATTCCTAGTTTTCTACGAAATGAAGCCAATTGCTGAAGAATCAGAATACCAAAAATACCAATAAACGGAAACAATAAAGCAAATAAAAAAGCATATTCTAAAAAGCAAATTAATCGAAACCAGAAAGCTAAGAACAAAGAAGCTGCAAAAGAGATTAATTCGAAACCCTAAAATCACAATACCACTATTGGAAAACCTCGAAACAAAGAAATCTTGTAACTGGTAGAGAGAAAGAGATAGAAGAAATGCAGGTGTTTTTTTCTTGAGAAAACCAGCAAACTTAAAAAGGTAGTTTTTTTCTTAAGATCGAAAAGCTCTGCAAGTACGAAACAGAAAATTCTGCTTACCCTTGAATAAAATAATCTGGATACGAATCGAATTCTTGTTGAGGGTTCGCGGCAATGGGAAGAAGGGAGGAACACAACAATTAAAATTTACAAGCCCTAGAACGCTCAATGCGGTTCTATCAACATTCAGATTCTGGTGAGTACAAACTACAAAGGACGCGAGTCGACAACGGGAGATGTCACACCAAGGAGAGAACGAATCAGCTGAACGCAATGGCTGTGTAGCGAGCGAACAGCGAACCAATGAAAACACCACACGCCAGAGCAAGGTTTAGCTGAACGCTTTAACGAGATCTGTGAATTTATTAGTTGCGTGGAACCTCATCATTGGTTCCACAGCACTCTCAACAGCCAAACCTCCGGTTAACCCGAATTCAAACGACAGTCATTGTGCTGCATAACTCGAGTGCCGCACCGGGCCTCAACGATTATCCGTGATACAATGGCGGTGAGTATTATATGTTATTATTCGGTAAAACCCGAAATCTCGAATCGAAATCGGTTTCGGTTTTTTGGTTTTTTGATATTTCGGTTCATTTTTTAAGCTTTTCGGTTTTTATATTTGAAAATTCATTTGATCAAAAAATGGGATAAAACATAATATATTATATACTATACATGTGCAATATATTATAAAATTTGGTTTTAACCGAAATAACTGGATCAAAAATTTGATTTAGTTATTTCGGTATACCTTGATTCGATATTTTGGTTCCATTTTTCCGGTTCATTTGATTTGGTTTTTAAACAAATAAATCGAATATGACCCACAGAAACTCACTCTCTCACTTAACATTTTGGTTGGCATGGGGCATAGTGATTGGTTCCACAAACAGGTTACAAAGCTTTCATATTTAGGCCTGCAATCAGATCATATTCAGATCAGACTTAGCTAACTCGATAAGAAATTAATAACATTCAAATCTGATCTAAAATCTAATTGGATGTATGAACAATGCATTTGAGTTTGACTTTGATCAGATTTTTTGGATTTCAATTGATTCCGATGAAAGTCTCGTTTAGTTCATACAAATAGGGGTCTGGAATCAGAATCGGAATGGACTATTCCGATTCCAATTGTTTGGTTGGGTGGAATCAAAAGAATATCATTTTCATTTCTGCTGGAATATCATTCCCCCATTTGAGAGTAAAATTTCATTCCTACTAATTTCAATTCCTATTCTCATTCTTGTCTTAACCAAACAGATTATGGGAACCATTTCGATTTCAGCTCTGATTCCGATCTAACTGCGAACCAAATGGACTCTTACTCAACTCCAAATACAAAATTGTATTTTCAAAAGCAAATATAAGAAAGGCTTTAATGATACAAACAAAAACTTTAATATATTATATTATAATATATATATATATATATAAAATCATGTCCGAGTCAGATTTTTATCAGATGGGGTACATCTAAACCTAATCCAATTTTCAATGGGATCAAATGTTCGATTGAGCTACAGAATTTTAAGTATCATTGATAGACCTAATCACATTCAGCTAATCCAAATTCCACCAAAAGAGACCAATGAGGCTATAATCGAGATCAATGACTTTACACTGAAACATTGGTCTTAATTTTGCCAAAGTTACTTTACACTGTCATTGGTTTTAATTCTGCCAAAGTTTTTTCAAGGTTTTGGAATATTTCAGTAATCCAACACCGAAACATTTAAATTAATACTTTGACCGACCATCTCTTTTTTTTTGTTTTTTTTGAAGTATGTACTTTTATTACTATAGTAGCGTTAATGATAAATTCTATTTTCCATTTAATTTTTTTCAAAATATTTTTGGCAAGAAAACCTTCAAATTAATTTCTTTTTTAGAAACATGGTATTGTAAATCAATTAAATTTAGTGTAAAAGACTTAAACATACCCGACTTCTTCAAATTGACTTAAATATACCTTGTGGGCTAAGCTGGTAACCCCATTAGACTTAAATATACCCTCTACTAGTAAATCATTCTTATGAGATGTCAAGTGACTTCTTTAAAATTTAAAAACTTCATTTTACCTTTTCTTGACTGTTCTCATGTTCCACCAACAAAGAGAACAAAGGCTTTGTTTTCACCTCTTTCCTTCAGTTGTTCATGTAGTGAGCAAGATTGTTTGTATCCACAAATAACTACCACCAAAGGATCAAAGTATTAGTATTGGATATCGTATTAGATTATTTGGATACGGATACACTTTGGAAATGTATGGATACGGATGAAAGATATGAAAGTACATTAATACACTAGGAAAATACATATGAATTTCATAAATACATAAATCAATTATACTAACTCTAAGGTTAAAATAACCACAAATAAGGCATAAATACATAAAAAATGTATATTTTAATGGTTTATATTAAAAAACATATTACAATTAATATAATGGGATGCATAGATATCATATTGATAATCCATCAATCAAGAGTCCAAGACTCATATTATATAGATATTTGCAAATTAACACATGCATAAAACCATTATTATGTTATATTCTATTTAAGTCCAAGACACAAAACATATGTAATTATTATATTTTAATTACTATATCAATTATTTTCTATTTTACTATTTTTACTTTTCAACGTTAATAAAAAAAGTCAAATAAATATTTGAAATGTTTGATAAACAATATATTTTTTTTTGTAAATAATAAATATTTTATTATAAAATGTAAATTAAAATATCAATTAATAATTTATAAAATATATAATCTTAGCTTAAAATATTTCATATCTATATTAAAATTTTTAAAATACATATCACATGCAAATTCATAATTTTTAATTACTAAAATATCTATTCCATTATTAACATTTTTATTTCAATAAATTTTCTAACATAAGAAATCATTTTTTATATAAATTTAAATTAGGGATTTGATAGATTCGATATAATATTATATGCTTGAAATTTTTATTTTTTATAAATAATAAATATGTTATTATATAGTGTAAAATAAAATATCAATTAATAATTTATAAAATATATTAAAATATCAATTAATAATAAATATGTACAAATGTATGAACTTTAAATACTAAATAACTATTCTATTATTAATATTTTTATTTGTATAATTGAGAATAGAAAATCATTCTTTGATATAAATATAAAAGTAGTAGAATTGTTATTTCATTTATAATTATAAATATTAATTTTTAATATTATTCTTTGAACATATTAATTTTTAATATGTCATTTCTTTAAATTGCATGTTTACAATAAATATAATAAAATTAATTTATTTCACTTTGTATCGTAAATTAAAGGGTGGCTTAGTGGTTTAAATGCTAAGCATTTAGTATCTAATTCATCAAACCATGGTTCGTGCAAGCCCCATTTTTTATATGGGAGTTGTGTGTGTTCCTGTATTTATCGATGTGTATTGATTCATATCGGTCAATATGACGCGATATGCACCGATACAGCACTATATCATATCAATACGTACGACCAGCACAATACGATGCCAATATATCTGGCATCGTCTACTATGAATACCAATGGATACCAATACAATATGCCCGGCCTTATGGATATTTTAATCCATGCTACCACCTTCTAACAATCATGTCAAATGGTGGCCCTTGTCAATTCATCAGGGAGAGAGTCGCGACACCCATAGAGGTTATCAAACTGATTTGTAGGAAGAACTGGGACAGTTAGAACAGGGTGAAACTAAAATTCAGAGTATTAATTGATTCCAATGATAATATCTTTTATCTGAAATCAAGGCAATGGTTACCAAAACTAATTTGAAGTTGATTTGCATCTTCAAAATCACAAGACAACACATTTTTACATGGAGGCAATGGAAATTTCGTTGTTTGATCGACCATTTTAGCCCAGGACTACCACAATGGGAGTAACATTTGAGCATTTTATGAGAGGAATTATATCTCCACATAGTAAGAAAGTTGGATCAGGTGTCTCTTAAAACAAAAGCTGATCCACCACAGCCCGAAAATCTGAAAAGCAATTGTACAACTCGTATGTGTTTGCACAAACCAACCAGGTTACAGATTTCTTCCTTTCACTTTTTTAGCCCTCGTTCTGCCGCAATATAGAACCATGTTTATTTGAACCAACAGGCAGAATATCTTTTCAGTCTGGACTGTACATATACCACATATATATTGGATACTATCAAAATTTATAGAAATCTGAGGGTCCATTGATCCATTCGCATAGTCTGTTTGATTCAGACAGGAATGGGAATGAGAATTAAAATCAGGAGGAATAGGATTTCATTCCCAAAAGAGAGATAGGGAATGGCCATTCCCTCAAATAAGAAATAACATTCCAGTAGGAATGGGAATGGGATTCTGATTCCGTCCAACCAAATAGTTGAAATCGGAATAACCCATTCCGATTCAGATTCCAAACCCCTATTCCCACGAATCAAATGGGGCCTGAATTTTTTTGATGACTTGATTAACAAACCTCAAGGAGGATATAAACACTAAGGTAACAGTAATTCGTGGTGACTGGGATTCTTCTACAAGTAATCTTGAATTTTGACTACTCTTTAATGGGAAAAAGCCCAATTAGAGTGTCAAACGATCACAAAAGCGAGGCCTAAAGAAAGGAATGGGTTCTTGAGGTAGAAGATGACACTCTTTTATGAAGGGCAAAATCATCTTTTTCTTAATTTTGGTATTACATAATGGGGTGAAGGTATTTTTAACTCCATCTCTAAAACTTAGGGTATGTTTAAGTCTTTTACTCTTAAACTTAATATTAAAATAGGGATATTAAACTAGGACTGCAACTTGGGCCAAGTTAGTCCGAACCCAAGTAATGATCCTATCAATCTTCCAAAACATCTGCTTTGTTAAAAACACAGTGGCATTATAAGAGTTTTACTATGATATCGAAAGACAAGATACTAAGAAAACTTGAAACCAATCAACCAGTATCATAAAAGTTGTAACCAATCAGTGATACTTATCAAAATTCATGGGTAGGTTTTGATTGGCCAAGCTATTCTGGTATCATGTCTATCCGGCAGCATAGATATTTCCTCATTAGAAAGTAATATTATCATTTTAAAGTTTACAACTAAAAGAATGGGAGTTCAAATCGAACTTCCAAGTTTGTCAAAGACCTAACTTCATTCAAGTTCCAACTTGATAAAAAAATAGCAAATAAAACCATGCAATGGGATAGAAATTTAGTAAAAGCCTCTAGAAAAAGATTTTGGGTATGCCATTGCCAATTAATGGGAAAGTAGTTGAAGACTATGAAAGATTGTAAGAAGTTTACAAAATATCATTAAACATTTTTCAAGTAATTGTGAGGAGTTCAAAAAGTAGTTGAAGACTATCAAAGATTGTAAGAAGTTTACAAATATCATTAAACATTTTTCAAGTAATTGTGAGAAGTTTACAAAATAACCCCTT